TAACTGCAAATGACTAACAACTTGACAATGACACGTTCATGGATCCCCAAGGATATAACGTTCATTGACACCTTAATAGAATCTGATCACTAAAGATCTCCTATTAGGATTTCCACAAATGACTATTGTCACTTGTCATCTCAAGTATACTGATCTTCACTAGATTACACGAGGAACCACTAATTCTAAAAATAGAATATTGTGTTGTCGGAGATTACAATGGTGCTTCCTAGCAAGCTAATAACTCCAAGTTTAGCACATAACGAGTAATGAGCAAAAACTCCTTGCTTCCTAATACAGAAACTAATTCTAATAATAAGTCTCTAAGAGATTCTTAGAACAGTTTCTATATTGCTTAAAAGCTTTTCTGACAGTGAGCACTAAGGCTTCTTTTCATTTGAGCTTTATCTTTTCTTTGCAGGAGTAGCAGCAGCGCAACAGCGCAAGCTACGGAATATGAGCAACAGCTCCAACCACCAGCTGGTCCAACAATTCTGGCAATCAGCAGGTTAAGCAACATTTGAATAAACAAATGATTCTTCCTTTATAGTGCTTCCAAGAATGACATTGTGAGGATAGAAAAGCCCTTTCTATTTCCAACCGTCATATTTCAACGGATAGAATGAGCATGTATTGGATGACATCACTTTCTTGTCTTTTTCCATAAGCACATGATTTATCAGATTTGAACAGCAGCAGCTTATCTGATGTAACATGTCTTGCATCTGGATGAATCTTCTTCTGACACAATCTTCCACTTCAGAATCCAGTCTTCAGCATTCTAAGAACTGAGTTTCCTTTGAAACAATCTTGAGAATCTTTATGACTAGTTATTTAGAATCTTCAGAGCCTTGACCTTCAGAACACTTCTTCAGAGTCTTAACTTTCAGAAAACATCTTCAGAGTCTTGACCTTCAAAACCTGTCTTCAGAGTCTTCAGAGTCTTAACGCACTTGGTCTTTAGAGCCTTTAGCCTTCAGAACTTCAAGTCATCAGAGTCTTCAACACTTTGTTCTTCAGAGGACTCACTCTTCAGAGACGCTCGTTAGCTTCCAAATCAGATGCATAACTCAGAACAGAATCCATAGATGCATTGCAACTGCAATATCCAGCATCCTTGATTCTTTACTGATCATGATCAGATGTAGAAACAAACTTGCTTATTCACTGAGCTTCATTTACTTTTAGATCAGATACACTTCTTCAGAGCAGAAACCACAAGAGCATTGCAACTGCAATATACATCATCCTTGGTTCTTATTGAATATGATCAGATACATAAGCAAACTAGCTTCTTCTCTGAGCTTCATTTGCTTTCAGATCAGATGCACTTATTCAGATCAGAATACACAGGAGCATCGCAACTTCCACATCCAGCATCCTTGATTCTTACTGAACGTGATCAGATACATAAGCAAACTAGCTTCTCACATGCGCTTCATGACGTCACACTAAGTAACTCCATAAGTTACTAGCTGCACACGTTACTTCTGTTTGTTTGATCTTAATATATTTAATTTTATATGACCTGCACATAACAAACATTAAACCATAAAATGGTTCTTTCGCAAATACTCAATTGTTATCATCAAAACATAGATATAATCCTGTAGAGACAAATCTTGCTCTTACATCAACCCTTAAGAAGTAAGTTCTATTTGCGTTAAACTGGGTTAACAATTATTGTGTTCCTTATTATTTTGTGCTCTATCATCTTGTACTACTTAATCTATCAAGGTTTTGGTTTATATTGTTGAATATGTTGTCTAGGACACCATGTTCGACATTTGTCCCCTGAGGTACAAAATTTCAGGCGAGATGACCATCACTTAGATGATGTGTCATGCCTCCTGCATCTTCCCATCAGGGGGAGATTACTGGACCACAGAAGGACCGGGCAAGAGGAAAGGGTCGACATGATGGTCACTCATTTGGGGTCTAACCCAGTTGAGGTCGCACATGAGGCATATGACACTAAAGGTGCTCATGCTAGGTTTAATTTTTTTTGGAAAAGCTTTATAAAAAAAACATTTACATTGGACCCTAGAAGCCGTATGCGGTGATATGCAGGTTGAGTACCACCGACATTGCGCATTGAGGTGTTACTTCTTGTTCCTGGTTGGCACGTCCACGTCTGTAGACAAAAGTGAAACCTATGTCAATGTGGTCTACTTTAAGTACTTCACCGACATAACTTCGACTCCAAAGTACAATTGAGAGATTGCTTGTTTTGTCCACCTGTACTCGAAGATGGATGAAAGTTGTCTTTGGAAGATAAATCAGATGATAAGAAGATGCACGCTGCCTACGGTAATTTCTTGATACTAATATTCTCATGATTTATTTGTTACACATGTTATTAATATTGTATTCAAACCATTTTCAAGGATGAGTCATCTCTCACTTCCCTCGCACCATCAGGTTTGAAGCTGCATTTTCCTACGATGAAGACTAGTCGCGTGCAACCACTTTTGTTCTGTATAGGGGGAATAGTGCAATTGTGCCATTCAAAGTCCCTCTTAACTGTATGGTATCATATGATGTTTGCTTATGCCCATACGAGGGTCGTCGGGTGACCCGTCTATTTGACGTTATTTCGTTATATTCTAGATGGTTGGCACGTGGGTCAACTCTTATGTATCCTTATATGCTCGAGCGAGCGATGCACCAATTTGAATACTTGCAGATTATTCTGAGACACCCGTTAGAGTCTGCTCTTCCTAGCATCCTCCACAGAGATCTTGTTGCAATACTGGATGGTTCCAAGAGTCACTTGATACAAAAGAAGTATCGCAGAGAGCCAGCTCTTATGCACTGGATTGTTGTTGAGGGCTACCTGACTTGGTTCTATAGGGAGTTACACCCTATCACGACACCATACGCTTCTAGAAGACCACATAGGTCAGCTAACTAAAATGTACTTGAGGTTCAGGATAAACAGGCAAAGAACGTGACAACGCTTTGTCAATGTGTTGCGGAGATGGATAGAGTCGTCATACAATCAAGACTCTTTGAGAATGACAATCCCTAGTTGTCCCTGTAGACATACCCAATAATTTATATTTGGATGTATTATTATTATTTTTTATTTACGGACAATTGTTATGTATTGTTTTGACTTATTTGATTAATGTATAACTTTTTAATTTCATTTAACCTTAATATAACTCTAGTTTACTTTGATTTTACTTTAATATAAGTTTACCTCATAAAAATTCAATGTTTGGACAACGGTGTTGTTGAGATATGATTCAGGGGGATTTTAGAAAAGCATATCTAAAATAATACCTCCTTGTATTTAACATGCTTCTAAAAACTTTCAGGAAACATCAGAACACATTTCAGAGATACATCTTCAGATGCACCCAAATAATATACAGAGATGCATTTTTGGACCTTATTTTGTTCAAAACAGGGTGAATTTCATAATTGCGCATTTTTGTGTAATTTGGGTGCGTCCAGAGATGCATCTTCCAACGCATGAAGGAAAAATTTTAAATTTCCATGGGTGTAGTATGCAAATATAATTTTAAAAAGGGAGGTTTCTTTTCGACATCCCCCAAAATTTACTTGACACCCTACATTAGTAGTATTTTTACCTTAATACCTTTTGCAAATTTTAGGAAAACTTCGTGTTATCAGATTTTCAAAAAAATTATGAGATTTTACCGAATTTTTAGGAGATTAAATAAATTTTTACTGAATTTTTTGGGACATGTATGAGTTTTGTCGAATTTTTTAAAATCAAGATGTAAAAAGCATAATTTTTCAAAAAACTATGACTTCATATCAGATTTTTGAAAAACTTTGTATAAAATCATACTTTTCTAATATTGGATTTTTCAAATCTGCAATATAAAATTATAATTTAAAAAAAATTACACAGAAAATTCGATAGTATTAATTTTATTTTTGCTTATCGAAAATGAACTACCAATTATTTTAAAAATCCAAAAAATTATCAAAGACACCGAATTTATCAAAAAAATCCAATACGTTAAATTAATTTTTTTAAAAATCAACAAAAATGCATACCAGACTTTTGGAATACACTACCAAATATTTCAATTTTTACGGAAGTTTCACTTGTTCTACCGATTTAGACATTTTGATAAAATTTTGAAATTGAAATATGGAGGTCTTAAGTAAAATTTGGGGTGAAGGAAGAAGTATTTCCCAAATTTTAAGCTCCTAAGTTTTGAAAGCATAAAAAGTTGGGCCTCAATATCAAAATTATTGGCTCTATTCATATTTTCATATCCAATTGTTGGGGAAAAACACATTTGTATTAGTATTTAACATGTTCCAAACTTGACAGGCAAGATGACAATCTCTACAAACATGGAAAAGATATTCATCCTCAAGGTTGCAAACGGGGCAAGTTGCATCCATAGCCAGGCCACGAGGAATCATGAGCTATGTAATAAGGTAAAAACTCGGTGCCTCCATTCCAAGCTATAGATAGAACCCCTATTATCATTAACCATAGGACAGATCCTTCTTAAAATCAGAGAGTCCAACCTTCATCTTATAAGTCCTGTACACCTATTTAACAATTCGAAATTGACATCTATAGACAATTTTTTTTGTTCAAAATAAGCTTAGTTAGGGACAAAAGTGCTAACTTTTTGTTTATGCAAAACATTAATTAGTTTTAGAAAAGAAAATGTTCTTAAAGCTTAAAGAGAAACTAGAAAAATGATTATTTTCATATAGACAATTTCAACAAAAACAAGCATTGATAACTCCAGCTTCTTCATCTCACAAAAGAAACTTGGAAAGAGGGCCATAATTTCACATAAGACTCATTCAAGCAAAAGGAGTACATCCCAGAAGCAAAAAGGTTCTAAAGATTATTGCAGCCATATATCGCTCGAAGTTCTAAAGTGCAAGTACATCATCAAAGGAAGGTCTTATCTACCACTTCACATCATTTTATTCCATCACCAAACAAGCTGCAAACCAGTCGTCCCAAGTTCCACGCCAAGCAGCACTTCAGATTAAGAGCTCTCTTTCTCATATACTTCACTGGCATGTTTCCAGTTAATAACTTTCCAAATGTTCTTCAAATAGTCTGGTCTAACATTCTTGTACTGCAATAACATAAACAAAAGCATACATAAGAAAACCCTCAGAAAACTAGTGTGCCTTTAGGAATCGCAGAGATAGCGTTCTACATGTTTTCTTTTCTTTTTCTATTGATTGTCAAAGTAGCACGATACGAGCATCCGACATTGATAAGAAATGTAAAATGAGATGAATTTTTTTCAAAAATATTTCAATCTTAAGGAATTGAAGTGTGCTGAGTATGAAGTCTAATAATTTCTTTGTTGTGAGTGGGAAGTGAAAATCTAGTTTGAACCTAATATATGATGGGACATTGTAGCGTCAATTGATTCATGTAACCAATTTTGCCCAATGAGAAAAATCTTGGTTGTTAGGCACTGAAGGGGAGGTAAAGCACAACCAAGACACGGGGTGTTTTGGTATCATTCCCTCTGTTTCTCTTCAGTTATTGTTTTGGTATGGGCTAAGTTCATAAAGCAAGATCTCTTCACAACCACATTTTGATGCAGTACAAAATGTCAGAAATATCAAGATGCAAATAAATTCTAATGAGCAGTGGAAAATATTTGAAAGTCAAATTTCATAAAATAGTCATAGCATCCACTTAGAAGAAATAAATATTCTACTCCTTTATAGAATTCGTTAGAACTCATGAGGTCTTGATTTTACTATGTCTCTAGATAGTACGTAGTATCTGTTCCATAGATAGAAACCAATTGTAAAAGACAATTTTAGTTCCTCGTCCTTACTTTGTTTGCTTGAGACATCATGTTTGTATGTCATCATCATATTATATGATGAGTTTATGTTTGTTTAAGTTTTCAATAGATCTGTAATGCATGTTAATGCTAGAAAAAAGAGCAGACTGAAAAAAGTGAGCGAAATTGAAATGCAGGTGTATGAAAAGAAAGAGGCAAGAAAGGAATTGGATAAAAAGGGACAATAACCCCCGAGGAGTACGAGCTTCGGGAAAGACTAGTCAGTCAACATTTATTGGCATCTCTGAGAAAATAAACAGCTTAGATATTATGTCACCATATCAATTGAAATTATGCAGTTAAAAATGAACCACCAAGTCCAAAATCTACCTGTAAGTAGTAGGCATGTTCCCAAACATCTATACCAAGCAATGGAACCAAACTTGCTCCTTTAGTGACCAGTGGGTCCTGCAAATAAAATGACCAAACTTACATATGAAAACAAACGAACCAGAAATGATAAGTAAGCATAGAGGATAAACATTATCTACACAAGTTCAAAATAGAGAGCACGGGGGAAAGGAAAAACGGTAGAGAAGTACTAACTTTTAATATCCCAAATTCCATCAACAATGCAACTTCCACGTTCAGAGTCCAAATATGAATAAAAATGCATATAGAAAATGTTTTGGATACATATTCAATTTCAAGTCCCAACAAAGTCACGAAATATAAAATTAGTCCATACACCATTTTTCTTTTGAAATCGGAATCAAGTCACTGTAGTTAATAACCATTGTAACATCATCAAAATTGAACTGATATGGCTAAAACAACTTTGATCATATGTAAGAAAAAAATGCTAGACAACTTCAACACTCTTCCACTATAAATCAGTGATGGATTCAGAGATATAGTAGTTAAATAGACCTAGAGAGAACATGGTCACTTGAGGCTTGTTGATTATTTGGAGGTTGGGTCTAGAATAAAAGAAGTGTTGCAACTAGAGTCAGATCATAAAAAAATAAAATGAAAAAAAAAATCCAGTGAACAAAGAGTTTGTATAAAGATGTGCTCAGTCACAAAAAAAAAAAAAAGATAAAAAAAAACTAAAAGAAGTTAAATGCAAAAAGGAGGCAAAAATTGTGGCAATACAAAAACTTTGTTAGTGTAGACAGCCATGAAGTGTTTGATATTCATAAAATACACCTCTCACCCGGAAAAACATTCTTCTGATGAAAATAGAAGAACTTATTGTGGTAGGCTACTAAACATTTTGTGAAATGTATGTCATTCATGTCCCGAACACAAATAAGAAAAAGATATAGAACAATCAATACAAGGAGCAAAACTACATGGATTAAATATGTAATAGTAATTATGACTATAAAAATATGAAAGTCTCAAAAATCAAACCCAGATTATGGAATCATATTATAATAATCAAGTATCTTTAGAAGTTTTCCTATTCTTTTGAGAAATCACAGAAGATAACAATCAATCAAAGGTTACGCAATGTATGATCTCATTGATTTAATGCATCTAAAATTAACTATTGATAATAGTAATATATGGTGATTGGTGAAAGGACCTAGAATGTTGTGAAGTAAGATACAACAGAAATATAAATTTTGCTAAAAAAACCAGAACTTGTAGCCAAACATGAACACTGAGGCGACTATAGTCTACTACCATTTTTAGCATCTTAAGAAAAGGGGTAACATTGTTGGAGGTGGAAGGGACATGATGAAGTTTACCTGGTTTGCAGTGGTTTCAACCACAAGCCTCTTCAAGTCTTTGTCGAGACCAAGCCACTGGTATTGCAGAGCAAATTGATTAAAACAAAACAGTATGATTCAAATAAAAACAGGCAGTGAGCTATAATGATATAAAATAGAATACATTCTGGAACTCTCAGAATCCACAAAACTTACCACCCATCCAGACCCCTGAAGAGCTGCACCTTCGGCATTAATCTTTTGTATCAATGCTTCCAAAGATCCAAAATTTGTGTCAATGGCCCAGCCCAAGGACTCCTTTGGTGGTTCACCACCTCCTTCCTGCACAAGGTGTGAAGTATTAGGTAAAAAAGTCACTGGATACAAAATATTTTCCATGAAATGGAATCAAGGCATGAACTTACACTAACAGGAGCCAGATTTTTCCAGAAAATGGAATGGTTGATATGACCTGCAGTAAATGGTTATTAATCATATAAAAAATAAAACAATCCAATAAAAATCACGGAAAATCTTTTTAAACTACTCCTTTGAAATTTTTACTTGGTTTATTTCAAAACCAGGTATGAGTTATAACTTCCCTCAAAAGGTAAATGTGAAACCCCTTTTCGTTTACAAGCAAAAATGAATTAACTTATTTAAACTTATCTCCTGACATAATTACTTATGAGAACATAAAAACAGCTGCTTTCAACTTATTTCTATAAGCTCTCCATAATAGCTCATAAAAACAGATCATAACTTATATAAAACAATTGACCTTTTTTTTCTTTCTATCTTTTGGTATAGAAATAGCTTATGATATAAGTGTATAATAAGTTGCTTATCCCCAAACCAGGAAAAGTATATGAATATCGCAAAGTGTTGCTTTCACGAATCACTTCCAACTGACATCACAAAAAAAAGTGTAAAGCAAATTCCCAATCCACCATTTCTATTGTACATATCGGCTATTATAAACAAAGGATGAACTAACTTAACATTCACAACAACCTAAAATTAAGTTGCGATTACCTATAGTTAATCAAATTTCATTTCCTATTAATTCTCCATCTAATTAACCAGAAAATTAAATATTAAAAAGAAAACTGAAAAAAAAGGGGAAACAAACCTCCGCCGTTGAATTTGATGGCATTCTGGAGCTTAACGGTGGTAGATGTATCAGCTTTACCAACGGCATCGTGAAGCTGCTCCAGAGCTTTGTTATAGTTGGTAATATAAGTCTGGTGGTGTTTCTGATGGTGGATTTGCATGATTTCGCCGCTAATGACAGGCTCCAAAGCTCCGTAATCGTAAGCGAGATCCGGGAGCGTGAAGACATGCAAACCGCGGGATTGAGTTGAAACGGCGGCTATGGCTGCTCCGATCGGTTTTGCATCATTGCGGAGGACGGAGGATAGGGTTTTTCTGCAGAGTAGGGTTCGAGCGGCCATGGAGAGAGGACTGATAATGCAGATTCTGGAAAAACTCTAGACTGAAGGATTCGGTGATTTGTAGATGGAGTTGAGTGGACTTTATAAATGGAATATTTTGTTCGCTTAAAAAATGACAAGTGAACAGAATTTTATATTTTATCTTTTAATTTTACCATTTAATTAATAATATTAATTTATTATTTATTTTATATTATATTAAAAATAATTATAGTATATCAATAGTTAATAAGAATAATTTATTAAAATTATTATTCTTTTTATTTATTTATTATATCTTTTTATCTATGTAAAAATATTAAATATGATATTTATTTTTAAATGTTTTTAGTCAAAAAATCTAATGATTAAAATTGAATAAGTTAGATGTTTTTAATCCTGCACGTGTTTCTATTTGTTTTCTTTCCACAATTGCTCACTAAGCTCTTTTGATGATTTTTTTTTGTGAATTATTAGTGCCACTCTTTTTACTTTTTTTATGAATTATTATTATCCTACTCATTTTACTTTTTGTAATTATAAGACAATTGCTCGTGGTATGCATGGGATTTATTCTAGTATATCACTGTTTTGTCTAATATTGATATAGTATATAAAAAACAATATATTTGAGTAATTAATAAAAATAATATACAATTTAACGTATATATTAAAAATTGAACAACAAAAATAAATTTAAACTATATTATAAAATCAAGACAAAATATTTTTTTTAATCCCTTAACTATTGAAATCATATTGGTTTCTTAATATTTTTTTTCGTGTTAGATTAGTTCCTTAACTATTAAAATGTGTCATGTTAAACTTTTTGTCTAATTAGCGATAAATTTAGTAATTAGTTTTTGAATTTTCCGGTCGTTAATTAGACAAAAATGACTAATATGACATGTTTTAAAAGTTAAAAGATCAATTTAACACGAAAAAAAATTAAAGAATTAATTTGAATTCAAAGGTATAGTTAAGAAAAAAAAAACATTTTGCCTAAAATCAAATAATAGAAAGATATGTCCCTTTTTTAATAATTCATTGATGTTTTGAAAATTGGATCAAACCAATCAATTCACTAGTTGGATCAAGAGTCGGAGTTGAATCAGGTCTGGTCAACCTTTCAAAATCGTTAGTATGTTAAAATTGGAATAAAATAAAAAAAAATTAAATTAAATTGTTCAAAATTGTTCGAGTCAAAGAATCAGAGACAATTTTATAAAACAGTAAGATTTAAATAAATGCATCAAATCGGTCTCTTTTTCTTACAAAGTTTAATATGTCAATATTAAAATTTAAAATATTATTTAATATTATATTATTAGTTTATTTAATAAATAGTTCAAATATAGGTTTAAACAGTTGAATCAATTGAACCTTCAATCAAATTTTTAAATTTTCGGTCCGATTTTTAAAATATTAAAATCAACTATGACAAAATTTTCATTTTTTTTTATACTAATCAATAACATTTTTTTATTTATTTATCATTTAAAATATATGTGTCGTATATTTTTTAATATTTATGTTTGACAAATATTCATCATATATTTTTATGTATTTTGATATGTATGTGTGATAATCATTAGTTCAATACTTTTTGATTTATTAATAATAAATATTTATTCTGTATTTTTTTTTTATATTTATAAGTGATAGAGATTTGTTCCATGTTATTTTTCAATTATTAGTGAAAAATATTTATTACATTTTTAATAAAAATTACAATAAAGATAATTGTCTCATGTTTTATTATATATTTCTTAATGAGAAATATTTATTGTCTTTTTTATGGATCAAACACAGCAGAACAAAATTTGTTGGTATTAACAAATATTCAGATATTCAAATTCGTTGTTGAATAAAATAAAATAAAATAAAAAAGGTAAAAAAAACTGAACCTCTTAAATTTAAAAAAGAGTTTGGATTTAATTGTAATTTTGGTTTTTTTATTTTTATTATTTTTTTATTTTTGACTCTCCTATTTTAAAATCTAAAATTTTTGTCTCTTTATTTTTAATTTTTTTAAATTTTGATATCCTTATTTTAAAATTTAGAATTTTTGTCCCTCTATTTCTATTTTTTTTAGTTTAGGTCTCCTTATATTTATTTTTTTAAAATTTTGATCTCCCTATTAAATTAGCTCTAAATTGAAAATGAGGACTAAAATCTAAAACAAAACTTAAAATAGAAAATTAAAATTAAAAAAAAAATGAAAATAGAGGAACAAAAATTCTGAATTTTAAAATAGGGGGAGCAAAACTCAAAAAAACTGAAAATAAATGGACAAAAATTCCGAATTTTAAAATAGGAAGATCAAAACTCAAAAATATGAAAATAGAGGGGCCAAAATTACAATTAAGTCAAGAGTTTATTGACAAATCAATGATGATTAATTTTAGGGTAATGCTAACTTGTGCCCCAAGGGCATAAGAACTAAATGTAGAAATAATATTTTGGAAATTGTGCATTATTTTAAATAATAATAAAAAATTTAAATTTTTATTGATATTTTCACTACAAACTTTTTATAAATGTATTTCTTAACTTGTTCCCCAAGGGCACAAGTTAGCATTACCCTTAATTTTATTAAATTTATAGCATGGTGACTTTGAATACATTGTACAAATTTTTAATATTAGTTTTTATAAATTTGAAGTGGATTTAATTTTATGGTCTAAATATTTGTTTTTGTGTTATTTTATGTTTATCAAATACAAATATTTGTCCATCAGAAGTAATGGGGAGAGGTTAGGAGAGGCCGAAAAAATAGGTGTTTCCGTCACCGGCAAATCCAACCACCAAATAAGAAACAATTTCAGGCCATCAAAGTGAAGTAGAGGATGATAATGACCCAATAACAGAGAGTAAGAGGGAGACAGAACATGTAATAAAAATCCTAGAAACTCCAAGAGTAAACGTTGAGGTATAGTCGAAGACCTTTGAAACATCAACAACTTTAGAAAGGAAGTTATGGGTTGGTGTTCTCAGTGGAAATCGTAACTCTGATAATGGCTTGACAATCGAATTCTTTACGCCAAAGGTGGTGAATAGGGAAATTGAAGTGGAGATGGAAGATACTGACATCGAAAACGAGGTGAAATTATGGGACTCCGTTCTAATCATGTATGTGCTGGTGGAGATTTGAGTATGCATGTTGTCAAGCAATTTATGACTAAGATGTAGAATTTTATAAAATTGTCTGACATGTGTTATAATAAGGATGGTTACTTCATTATGAGATTCCATTCTTATGTTGAGATGGATGTGGTGCTGATGAAGGGCCCATATACGGTCAGAAACTTGCCTATGGAATGGAAGCCTGAGTTTAGTCTAGAAAATGATATGTTGAGGATTGTTCCCATTTGGGTGAAGCTATCCCAACTGCCATTGCACTTGTGGGGAGCGCAGAACTTGAGCAAAATCGGTAGTGGAATAGAGGTCCATATTGTTACAGACGAGTGCACATCCAACAAGTTCAGAATCTACTATGCTCAAATTTTAGTGGAGGTTAACATCACAAATGAGCTACCAAAAGAGATTACAATAAAAAAACTAGGAGAGAAATAAGATGAAGCAAGTTGCGGAGTATGAATGAAAACCCACTTACTATTACAAATACAAAAAACTTGGTCACCAATGTGAGAAAAAAAAACAAAGAACAACCAAACAATGGGTGCTAGAGACAATAGTGCAAGAGGCTAAACTGAATGAAGAAATCCAACAGGATCGTGTAACTACTAAGACAAAAGTAGATGTGACCCTAATAACCAAAGTGCAAAATGTTGAGGAATGGGCTCAGATCACCAAAGGAAGCAGAGAAAAGCTCAAAATGCCTAAGTCACTAGGGGAACTAACTTGTGGAAATGGATTTAAGACACTAGGGTTGGAAGTTACTGTAATGTTTCATGAGCATGTACCACAGTAATAACTTGGAACTTGATGGGGATAAATAAAGCAGGAAAGATCAAAGAGGTTAGCTCCCGTCTTCGAGATCTTAATCCTAAAATTGCTATCTTAATTGAAACGAGAGTTAAAACATAATAAAGTGGTTGTTGTGAGATCCAAACTGAAGATTAAATGAAGCTATGTAGACAACTACAACAAACATGATAATGGTAGGTTTTGGATCTAATGAAATAATGAGAATGTAAACATCCAAATGGTAAAGGTCATTGATCAAATGATTCATTATGGAGTTTATAACACAAGAGGAAACTTTATGTATTGGATGACTGTATTTTATGCTTTGAACCAACTTGAACAAAGGAAAAAACTTTGCCATGATATTGAAGGCATTCATAATCAGCAAAAAGGCCCTTGTTTTTTGATGGGGGGTTTTAACAATGTTTTGAAGAGCCAAGATATAATTGGTGGTATAGCTGTGATTGAGAAAGAATATAGTTATTTATGCAAGATGGTGGACACAACAAACCTTCATGAAATGGATAGTGTGGGAGAGTATTATACGTGGACAAACAAACAAAGTGACAATGCTATATACTCTAGAATTGATAGAGTGATTAGAAACCTGGATTGGCTACAGAGTCACATTGACCACACTCTTACTATCACGCATCCGAGTGCGTCAAGTTGATCAGTGATTTGTATACGTTATTTTACCATGAGTTTTAATTGATTGTCTTATACGTTTAGTTGCATTTTATGTTCTTTTATCGCATTTTATATATTGGTTTGGTATTTCCATTGTCTTTAGGTTCAGGTATGCGATCAAGAAAAATCTGAGCAAAAACCTGGAAAAAAAGCAATAATTCGAAAGTGTTTTAAAAGTGAAACAGGGGTCTGACACGGCCTGTGTCGGGATGGTACCAAGTAAATGAAAGTTGAGGGTTGGACAGTGGCCTGACACGGGTGCCTGTGTCACCTAACACGGCCCATGTCAGGAAGTCTGGAGCAGACAAATTTTTGCAGCAAATATCTAGGGAGCCAACACGGTCGCCCGTGTCAGCTGACACGACCTGTGTTGGCTGAAGCGAGTCATCTTCCAATTTTCT